TTAATTATGCCTTGTTTATGTTGTGCATGTTACTCGTGGTTAATCAGTACCATCAATATTCTTTGTGTTTTTACTCATATTAGTTGTGTGCTTACTGATTGCAGAGATTACCGGTCGTCGGAATACTAACAAGGCACGATTTTATGCCAGAGCACATTCTGGGGTTGCATCCTTTGCTGGAAAGAAGCAGATGGAAAAGATTAAGAATAAAATTTCCTTTATGAACAAGTTCTTCTAAGGCTCAAGCTTGGCCTTCAACAGATGTAAATAACTCCTAGTTGCAGAAGGCTGCATAACAGAAAAATCGTTCTCTGACCAGCTTAATAAAAGAATCCAGAGCTATACAAGACATTGCTCCTCATTTCTGTACAAGGTTACATCAGAATTCTGATGAGATATGAATGCTTCCCTGGGAAATGGAATGTCAACTTGGGGATGTGGGTTTAGGTCTCTGATGAAGATGGAGTTCTATTTTTTTAAATTTTTTTTTTTTTTTGCAGTCATTGGGTACTGGGTTAGTCGTTAGTCAGTAGTCAATAAATATCGGCTTTATATTAATTATTAATCAACCTCTTTGTCTCCCTTTAATGCGTTGAATTTCAAGGCATCTATTTTTTCCCCCCACGAAGTATCTTTCTCCTAAATGGTAAGAGACTAATCTCTTAGAGTATTGTTAGGTCCCGTAGCAGAGACTTTTCTCAACAATATTTTTTTTTGTATACACGCCGTCCTAAGGATAGAATCCAGGATATAATGTTTAAAGTGTCTAAATTCCTTCCATTTGAATCAACACTTATTGGTACAAGGCATCTATTGTTGGTTCACTGATTAAGGCTCTCTATCTAGCATAATCTGTTTTCCAATAAAATCAATATATATTAATTTCTATTATTTATTTCATAATCATTGACTTCAACTTTTTACGTGACTCGTAATTTTAGCATAAGGATGATTTTTTATTTTGATATATGCACAGATCAAATTGATAATTTAAGCACGTAATAAATCACCAATATCAATAATCAATAGTTATATAACTGTTGTCAGAAGTTAGTGACTTATGATCAATGATAGGATTTGAATATAATAAATCTATCTTGAGCTGTGTGCTTTGCTTGTTTGTCTTAATTTTTTGAGATGTTCATTTTGTTGGTAATTATTATTTGTCATATCGTCATTTCTACACTTGCGAAATCACATAAGCCAGTAATTTTGAGATACACTCGCATAATATACAAGTTAGCATTATATTATGTACAAATTTTTAAATAGATGATAAGTTTTCAAGTAAATATGACTTAACAGTGGAATTGGTGTTAGACTGTTAGTTCTCCCAATTACAAACTGATTTGCATCAAATTGACAATAATACCGATACTTAATAACACAGAAATAATTAATTTAGGATATTAAAAAAATTGATTAAATTAGTTATTTATAATAAACATATATTGGTTTTCTTCAATTATTCTTTTTATTCATGTGTATTGGAACTGCGTTTGACTTTGGGTTAACCTTGATTTGATTAGTTGACCCTTGATTACTACCTCAACTATTTTTAATGGTGGTTTGGTTTTTTTTTTCTTGGTCACAAATGCCTGTCTCCCTTTCTTTTTGTTGCTTTGCCTCACCTCCTTTTCTCACCAACTACACCATTGTTGACAGTGTTAGCTTCAAGATGTTCTCGGACAACCTAGCCAAGCTCCTCAATCTTGATAACCTCCTCATCCGAGTCTGGAGTCTTCGAAGCTGTGGCCACGGCCACGGCCACGGCCGGCGAAGCTGCCCACTTCAACCTTATCACCGTTCTCCTGTGGAGGTGCAAGGCGTTATCTGCAGGAGATGATGACATGAATCACTAGTCGACTATACTGTATGCTGTTGATATTAGGTCACGATTGAGTCAAAAATATGCTCTTTATTCTTTAATTTTATACAAAATTTCATTTTAATTTCTTAACTTCAAAAATAAGAAGCATACCGTATATTTGCACATTTCTACTTGCCAACAACAAATGAGAAAACCACCTAATGCAGAAGGTGCCCAAGTGGTGGAATGGATAACTTATCTACGTTCATATGCTCAGATTTCTCATCCACATGTAGATACCAACTTTGTTGAAAGTCCAATTTATTTTTCACTCACATGCATGTTTCTCATCAATGTGGACACTCAGAACTCATCGCTCCCTCGTGAATGCCCTAGATATCTATATTTATACATTTCTTGCTTAATTCCATTGACTATTAAACATGCGCATATATGTATTCTCCGATTTTATTTATAAAATAGAGAGAGGATTTTTTTATTCATTTATAAATCATATCATTAAATTATTAATACAAGTGTATAAATTATTAATATATACTAAATAGGGATAAAATTAAAAAATTATTAAATTTTAAATAGACTTAACGAAATTCAAAGTTTTTCTTAGTTCTATAAAATATATTGAAAATAACTTATAAATAAGACGGGAGGGTATTTCATAATTAAAATATCATTCAGATCTAACAACAAAAATCTAGAACTCAAGCTAAAATTAAACTCAACTAACATTAGGCAATTCATTCTCAATTGCATACAAGCACATGTAAAGGGCGACCGAACCTACCTCTCACTCAAAAACAAAGAGCGGCCGGACCTAAAATCTACTATTTTCACATGGATGAGAATAAGTATTATTGAAGTGGATTAGTGCAAAGAAGATATGCATTGGAAAAAAGGTAATAAACAACATTGAATACAATTAATAGAATCTCTTCCATTTTCAATAACTATACTCTCTTTGAACTTTTGAGGAATTCTGCCCTGATCGTCCACAGTTGTTCTCCCACGGACTTCATGTCGGGCCGATCAGCTCGAGTTGGTGCTGCACATTGAATTGCTAAACCAATCATCTTCATTACAACCTCTCCATTTATACCTTCCTCCATTAAAGGATCCACCATTTCCACCAAATTCCCTTCATTATACTTCCTGAAAGCCTGATCATTGTCATATGATGTGTTCAGCAATATGGTCGTTGTACTTTGTCAGCCAACAAGAATTTTTGTGGGGTTTATATCAAGTCACTTAAAACGTTCAAAATTAATAAAGCACGTGTAAACATTGGACGTGCTAGGAACCCTAGGAGAGAAAAAGCTTGCCTAGGAGGAAATCAAACCAGTTTATAGTTCATCTTTTAGAAGCATATGGAATATTTAATAGACAATTGTAAAACCAGTAAAATCATAACATATAATGAGATATCAATGGAAAGTAGAGAAGACAAGAACGGGATATGAATTTACCCATCTCAATGTCACCCTCTCTTCAACAGGTTTCTTCACCTCCACAGGACGGCGGCCGGTCACAATTTCTAAAAGCAAAATCCCAAATGAATAAACATCACTCTTGGGAGTAAGCTGATATGTTTTCATGTACTCTGGGTCCAAATAACCAACTGTTCCCTTCACTTTGGTAGAGATGTGTGTTTGATCAGAGTCCATTGGACCAAGTCTTGCAAATCCAAAATCAGCAACTTTAGCTCTCATACTTTCAGTTAGAAGAATGTTGGACGATTTCACATCTCTATGGATAATTGGCTTTTCTGTTTTATGATAAGCAACACATCAGGAAAAATTTCACAAATTGATGAATGTCCAGGAGTCTGAAATGTTAAAATGACCATGCCTCTCTTTTTTTTTTTTGGGGGGGGGGGGGGCTACAAAACGATATGGTGAGTCTATTGTCCCAGAAAATATCTACTAGTCTTTGTGGTAGTTAGAAAGGAAGATAAAAGGTAGGGAAAAGAAGAGAAAGGTGAGTATCAACTAGCATAACTATCAAATTCCCCTGTTACAAGCTAATACAGGCAGTTACTGAGAGTCTTAACAAACTGACCCTCCTAAACAGACAACCATCCTATTACACCTAACAATTTAAGCCTTATTAGATATTTCTTACGTAACAAACAAACAGAACAAAACCTTTAACAAGAAAAACAATCAGGAAAATATAATTGTTGGTCCTCAAACTTTTCCTCAATTATTGATACAGTTCCTGATCTGACTCACAAATCCTATACTTTGTTGACTCAGAATGAGTCAGTTCTGTCACCAAAAAAAAACAAAAAAGAATGAGTCCGTTCTAATAGTTTTCTGACTCAGAACAACTCAATCCTCATAATTCTTTCATTTAACAAACTACAAAGGTTGAGTGGTTCTGAGTCAAAGTTCAAGGAGTGAATCAATAAATGAGAGAAAGTTCATGGACTAAAACATATTTTCCCGGAAAATATACAACTATGTTTAAAATGATTTTCCTTGAATCAGGCTTCACTTCACCCATTTATACTGTAAATTGAAGTCCAGATTCAAATATCTAATATTCAGCTTCTGTGGAGAAGGTGGCAAAGGTGAGAAGAATAGCTCAGGGGAAGGATGTCCGACCTGCGTAACGATGTAGATAGGTCAGGCCATGAGCAACATCAATGGCAATTTCAAGGCGCTGATTGAAGTCAAGGATCCTTCCACGCAAACCTGCAAGGAACATCCGCAAAAGTAGCTTTTTTATAGAGGCACAATCATAGGTCTGTATCAAAATGCAGGAACTTACCATCCAAGTGTTCTCTAAGAGTACCATTTGGGACATACTCTGCAATAAGAAGGCGTTCATTTCCTTGGTCAATGTAACCTAGTAACTTCACCAGGTTTCGATGATCAATTTTGGCCAGAAGTTCAACTTCACTGCTGAATTCAGTTTTCAAACTCTCAAAATGTTCCTACGCAATATATCCATGTTAGCAAAGGGAAAAGAACTATGACACAAACTCTATTTCAGAGGCTGGAGACCTGATAACACGAATTACATTATCAGTCATAACAGGATATATTTTCTCCGGTAAATGAAGAAATACAGACCTAGAACTCATTGATCTTCCGCAACCAATACCCTTCTTTGCTATTTTTCTACTGTTTATTCTGCTCTAAACTCTTCTGTATTTCAACATTTGATTGAATCAATTAAAAAAAAGAGCGCTTTACTTGCTGGATTACATTACTATGGCCTCCCTGGGAAGCTAGATTTTTTTAAGTCACATTGATTGCTAATTTGGTGTAAATAGCATCTTCTCCAAATAGAATAAATTGATCAGGCCACTAGATTAGATAAAGTCCTATGGGTCGTGCTTGCCTGTGTTTATTCATGCGTATAAACTAGAAATAACTTGCCAAAGGGTAAGAGGTTCCTTTCCCCAGTCATATGGAGCATAATTTTCTTTGTTTCTGCAAATTTCACCCAATGTCAGATGTATGCATCTCACAATTGAAGGTATTTTAAACCCTTTCCAACAATCTGTGCTACGGTGCTCATGGGTTCAAATGGTCCAAGCACTTGACAATACAAAATTGACAAACAATTTCATTGATAAACAAAATCCAAAGCATCAGTATTCCCAAGTTTACTGGATTGCAGAATGTCAACTACAAATTAAGACATAAGTTTGTACCCTTTTGGCACGCTTTACTGCCACAACTTGACCACCTTCTAGCTGAGCCTTGTAGACAGTTCCAAAACCTCCTTCTCCTATTTGTAATTTATTCGAGAAATTATGAGTAGCTTTCACAACCTGACTCAAGTTGAGATGTATTGACCCAAGTCTACTGAGTTTTGGAGACATTGAAAATCTTGAAGGACTAGGTGGTACCCTATGGAGAGAGCCATGGATCTTCTCAGAAACAGAGTTCCCTTCCAAAGAAGAAGCTGAATCCACTAGAAAAAGCAAATTGCCCATTATTTTTCATTCTAAGCATGCCAAGGAATAGGAAAAAGAAGAGAAAAGAAAAGAAAACAAAGCATAGCAGGAAGCAAAAGCTACAAAAGGAATGTAAACGAGAATAATCGAAGCAGAAAATTTAATGTAATACAATAACAAAAGGTTTTGAAACGTCCAGAAAGTTGTCATTACTTGAATGCACATATGCCTGGCATGAAAGATTTCAAGACATTGCACCAGAAAAAAGATAATAAGTTCATATAGAAAGATCAGCTCACTTGAATTTGGGTCCTTGGATGGACCAGCATGAGCAGTGCCTTTTTGTCTCTTCCCATAGAAACAAGGACAGAGAAAAACACAACATACAAGCAAAACCCCACTTGCAACTATACCAACTTTTGAGGGTGCTAGGGGCTTAGAAACGTTTTGGGGACCTGGGAATGTTGAGTTATCGCTTATATCCTTCTGCAAAAGCTTTCTTCCTGCATTTGAAGGTAAATTAACCACATCGGTTAAAAAAAAAAAATCAATGCACATGTTTAAAAAAATTGGCTCATATAAGTGAAAATGTTTTTTAAAAAAAAAAAAATTCTTTGCCAAATTGTGGTCAACAAGTTATCACAAAGCTCGATTTTTCATACCAAAAGAAACTTCCCGCCCACAGCGTGTACTTCCAAAATAGTGCTTCGCATCACAACCATTTACCATGTAAAACTGAAGGGTCCTGCAGAAATTGTCTTTGCTAACAACATTCCCGTTTATGTAAAATAGTTCATGACCATAAGAATATGAATAGGCTACCCAATTGGCACCACAATCCTTTGCCTGCAACAAGTCCCCAGAGCCAAAAATTCTTGGCAACTGCAGTAATAGCATAAAAGCCAAAACAGCGATAGCCATTCTTAACCAGTTCGTTCGCGCTCTTGTGTACAAATAGATAATGAAAGCTTTTCACTGTTGTCAATCAAACATCCCAAAGCAATAAATGCAGGACATTTAGGGGACCAAATATAATTATAAAAAATCCCGTTCAAGTAGTATGCATAGCAAAATACACCGAACTTAACCCCAAAAAATTCATTCTTAGAGAGTGTCAAAACCCAGGACTTTCAAAAAATTCATTCTTAGAGCGAGTGTCTAAACCCAGAGACTTTTGGCTTCGTATCTGAAATAAACTCAGCAGCCAACCAAATTATCAGTCCAAATCACCCCGGCTAAGAAAAACCCGCCGGCCAAGAAGTCAAGTACACAGTCAATGAAGCGATCACAGTTCCTACGACTTCAACTTTCTCGCATATCACTACCAGCTACGTTCTGATAAGAAATTGCCAAGAAAAGGAAAAAAGGAAGTTCAGATACTTATCACCGAAAAGGTTTGATATTGAGGACCACGATTTTCGTGTTGTCTGAAATGAAGTTGAGCTCCACTGACGCGCTGTACGCAAAAATGGAGGTGAGCTGGGCACACCAACATCAGCAAATCGGAGAAGATACACAAAGCACCAGAAAATTAGATCAGCGGGGAAGAATCCAAATTCCCCAACCTACAGCTGAAGAATTCTCGAAGTTCAATTACAGTACAACTTAAACAAAACGCCAAAACCACGAACCCATAGAAGAACCATAGACCAGAGCACTTGTAAATGATTTGTGAAGGTAATAATTACAAATTACTAAAACTTGAAGGCAAAGAAAAACGTGTGAGCGTGGACTAAGAACAGCACACAATAAAGCGTTTCTCATTCTGACTTGAAAAATTTTCATTCAAATACGTTCAGAGAAAATCCTATGTCGAGAATTGGAGATACACTTTCCTTGTCCTCCTCCTCCTCTGTTTCTAACGAGAATTAAATAAAATTAAATTAAAAAATAATTATTAACTGCCTAACAAATAACTTATATTTAAGGTTAAAATCTTTCTCTACGAGTAATTTATAATAAAAATCACAGTGGTACCCACTCAATAAAAATGAACTAAATTTAGTAATTGATCACTACCACACTGATCTATAAATTATTTGTATCTCATTCTTGTATATTAAAAAAAACATTAAATTGATCAAATTTTATAGATCTGAAGTTTTTAAAGAAATTGTGTGCATTTTGTCTAATCTATTTCTTTTATGATACTTAATGGGAATAAAATTGAAGAAAAGGTCATTATTTACTTTAAGAATGACATATATTTAACGCCAAACTTTTCTCCTACAAATGCCTTACATAGAATGCCATATTGATATTTTATTTCTCTAATTCTATTTTTTTTTCTTTCAACCATCAGGTAGTGTTGTTTTAATCTATAATTTATTTCTAATTTAAATATAAATAAAGTTAATAAAATTATTAAATTTTAAGAGAAAGTTAATGAGACTTAATTTTTTTTAATTTATTGAAGTGCCTTATAAATGAGCCCAAAAATATTTTTCTGATTTTTTTGAAAAAATTGGTTCTATATTTATTTGATTAATTAATTATTAATATTAATATAATTAATATGAATATTTTATATCCATTTAACATGTGATATCCATTATTAATATCAAATTAAAATATAAAACAGGCAATAAATGTACCAAGTGCAAAGATGACATTCGATAGTTTTTATATTGTTATATCCAAATAAAATATTATTTTCTCAAATAAAAAAATAGGAAAATTTCATTTAAGGACCGCAATCGAGAATTTATATCAGACAGTTCCCAAAACATTCTGAAATATCACTGTAAGACTAAATGACCAAATTGAAATTAAAATTAAGAGTAAGATTACAATAATACCCCTCATTTTTAAAAAAATAAATAAATATTAATGGTCGCTAGAGTTTCGGCCACTGGAGGTTGGAGCTTCGATGGCTGGAAGATTTTTTTTTTAAAAAAAAAACCAAGGTGATCAAGGGAAGGTTTGAACCCATGACCCCTTGGCACGTAAAAAATGATGTAACCACCAACCCAAACAAATCATTTAATCATGTGATGCAAATAAATATATATATATAACAAAACAAATGCAAGTGTCCAAGTATAAGTGAATAGGTGAAATTCGACAGTTTACAGGTGAAATTCAGCAATTTACACACAACATAATGGAATTCACAATTCTAAATGCAAGTGTTTAAGTGCAAATGAACAAGTAAAATTTGAAGATTTACAAAAAAATTTTATGGATTTACAACTCAAATTTGGCTATTCACAAGAAATACAAGAGAATTCACAACCCAAAATATAAGTGTTTGAGTGTAAGTGAACAAGTGAAATTCGACAATTTGCAAATGAAATTCAGCAATTTACAACAAAAATTTAACAGTTTACAAATAACATAATGAAATTTACAACCCCAAATACAAGTGTTTAAGTGTAAATAAGCAAATGAAATTTTTGTTGTAAATATTGAATTTCAGTTGTAAATTGTCAAATCTCACTTGTAAATCCATAAACTTTTGTTATAAATCTTCAAATTTCACTTGCATTTACACTTAAACACTTGCATTTAGAGTTGTGAAATCCATTATCTTATTTGTAAATTGCCAAATTTTTATTATAAATTGCTGAATTTTACTTGTAAATTATCGAATTTCACTTATTCACTTACACTCAAAACACTTATATTTTGGATTGTGAATTCTCTTGTGTTTCTTGTGAATAGCCAAATTTGAGTTGTAAATCCATAAACTTTTGTTGTAAATCTTCAAATTTCACTTACTCATTTGCAGTTAAACACTTGCATTTGGAGTTGTGAATTCTATTATGTTATTTGTAAATTGCCAAATCTTTGTTGTAAACTGTCGAATTTCACTTGTTTACTTATACTTAGACACTTGCATATGTTTTGTTATATATTTTTTTATTTGCATCATATAATTAAATGGTTTGCTTGGTTTGGTGGTTATATTACTTTTAGTGTGTCAAGAGGTCATGGGTTCAAACCTTCCCTTGGCCGCCTTGTTTAAAAAAAAAAATCTTTCAACCACTGGAGCTACAATAATGACCGCCAAAGCTCCAACCTCTGGTGGCGGCCACCTGAGCGCTAGTGGCCGGAACTCCGGCGACTATTAATATTTATTTTTTTAAAAAAATAAAAGTGAGAGTTATTATTGTAATCTTATTCTTAATTTTAATTTCAGTTTGGTCTTTTGATTTTGCGGTGATATTTTAGAATTTTTTGGGGACCATCTGATATAAATTTTTAATTGCTGCCCTTAAATGAAATTTTCCTGAAAAAATATTTTATATAATTTTAAGTTTAAAAAGGCATATCCTACATGACTATAAAATATAAAGTTTACAGCATATTGGGGGAAAAAAATGAAAGCTTTCCTTTATTGTATTGTGACAAGGGCTAAATGTTTGTTAGGAAATAATAAAAGAAACGGGCCAAAAGTCAAAGTTATCACAAGACGAGCGAATGTAATTTCTCAGGTCAAATTTTTATTGAAAAGCTTAAATTTAAATGAAAAAATGGCAAAAAAGACCGTTAAAATAAAAAAATTATAAATAAAGACTTATGACAACATTAGTATAGGTTTTGACAACAATATTTACAAATCGGTCCTTGTGTACAATCTTTCTATTTTGATGGTCTTTTTTACCATTTTTCCAATTTAAATTCAAAATCTTATTTAAAAAATCATACTATCCATAATATAAGTTACTTTAATTAATTCATCAATATTAAAAAAATAATAGTTAACTCATTAAATTGTTTTAAATTGAATTTTTTTTCAACTTAACCTATATCAAATGAGGTCACAAGGGAGAGGGAAAAAAAAATGCAAGAAGTTACATTTAAGCATTAATCATATGGGTAAAATTGATAAATAAATACTACCTCCTGTCTTTAATATAAGAACTTGTTTGACTTTTATTTTCATCTTAAGTATAAGACCCAATCCACTTTGTCTCTCATATTTATTTATTTTTTAAAGATAGTTTTTGTAATAATGATAGTTCTAGTTAATATATTGCTTATCAAGAATATTTTAGAAAGTACAACACCTATTTATTACAAATAAATAACTTAATTAGTTTTTTTAATCTATTCAAATTAGTCAATTATCTCTCAAGAACCGAAATTAGTATTAATTATTGCTCAGGTGACTTTTTAAAATAAATCATTTTTCAAGAAGCGACTTATCCTGTAAACCGGAAGGAGTATTGTATTTTTGGTCAATTCCATGACTTTTTTTGGGCCATTAAAAGGATTCATAAGCGAACTAAAATCAAATTTACGCTAAAAAAAAAACTCACATTGACAATTACTTGAAGAAAATTACGGGGCAATTTGCCTAAAAAATAAAAGTTGAATGTTGCGTCATAACTAGAGGGACGAGCCCAAGCTCCACGTCAGACATCGACGTCATCTCCGTGGCTGCTTTTAACGAGGATTCAGATTAATTCATAATTACAACTTTAAGAATCGATGTTAGGTTGGTACTGGTCAAAAAAGATTTTGTTAGGTTGGTATGAATGGTCTGTAATAAAACCATAATTTTAGCCCAAAAGGTAAATTATAATTATTTAGTAATATATTGAAGAAAATTATAATTCTGCTAGCAAATAATTAATCTTAGATAAAATCTAAATAAACACTAAAGTCAAGTGCAGGATATCCCCGCCTAACCCTCAATGGCTCCCCCCCTCTCTGAGCTCATCAATATGCCCACCATCTATTTATGAATGTTGAACATGATATTTAAAAATTTATAAAGAAAAATAAAGAGATATGCTCAAATTTAAAATCACGATTACATTTGAAAAAAAAAAGGACGGTGGGCTGCTATTAAAAAAAAAAAAAGGCATTGTGCGTGAGGTTTAAAAAGTTTGGAGCAATTGAAGTTAAGCATCTTTAAATCTTACTCAATCATGAGATATTTATTTTACCCCAAAAAAGGTATGAGATATTTAGTATTATGTTGAGGGTGTGACTTCCTTTTATTGAGTAGATAGTTTTTGAATGGATGATAATACAGCTCAACCTGTAAATTAGGATGAGGCAGTGTGGAATTAAAAAAACTTGAGTGATAATAAGCCGGTTTTTAATCAACAATAATCTTTTGGTTAGGATTAGACGATGTTTTTGGCATATTGGCGGGTTGGATCTGCAAGTCCATTATTATCAGCTCTATTTTTTATTATTACTCTAAAAAAAAATCAAACTCTATATTACATAAAGTTGTTATACTCCTCCGATCCTAATTATAAGACCCAATTGACTTATTTGAGGAGATTAAGGAAGTAAGTTAAGTTGGTTATTTATAATAAATAAGTGTTGTCATTCTTAAAATATCCTTACTAATTAAGTATATTGGCTTAAACTATCATTATTAGAAGGATTATCTTGGAAAAAAAATGCATAAATATAAGAAACAAAATGGATTGGGTCTTATAATTAGGACCAAATAAAAAGTCAAATTGGGTCTTATAATAAGGACCGGAGGAGTAGTATATTTAACCCCTGAAGTTGAAATCACTGCTTATATATTTAATATTGGCCATAATTTATAAGAAATGAAAAAACAGTCAAGGTACCGTGTAGGGATGTGCGAAGGCATGTTGATAGATGATAGGAATTTATATCTGTATATCATTATGATTCTATTTATAACATACACTAATGTTTAATAAGACATGCCTTATCTTATAATTGGGTAAAACTTTTTTTTTCCTACCTATCTTATAAATTGGACCAAAATGAAAAAAAAATTCGCAGAATTGATTGTTAAATTACTGACTTTTTATTTGTTAGAACCGCCTATTTTGATAGTTGTTTTCAAAGTTATTCCTTTT